CTTGCATGGGATGACATATATCCTTCACATTCGCTGGAGTTCAGTAACTACAGGCACAGTTCCGAAATGTATACTAAACTGGCGCATGCACAGCCCAGTGTACATTTCAAGGAAGCCTGTGAGGCAGACAGGTTTATTTTCTTGAAGAAGATATATTGCATGTCTATGTACAGTATTGATTGACCAAGCAATTGTCAACTTATCCCAGCACTGAACAATAAAAAATTGTCTGGAAATTAAGAAGTATATACAGGCTGGTACTTAAGTGGTTAGATTAACAAAAAAAATCCACATTAACCAAAATAACATTTTAGTTTTTTTAATTGATGAACTTTTAAAAATCCATGCAAATAAAATACTTAAGGCACTCTATTAGAAAATTCAACCGCTCACACAGGTAACTGAAACTGAATCAGGGTAGGTATATTTTTATACCGTCATAGGACAGACTTTGTCAAGATGTTACTTTTCGTTTTATAATTTCCAATTTTTTTTTTTTTTTTTTTTAAATGATCAATTAATACATGTGCACAAACATTTTGTGTAAGCGGAAAATACTTGTGTTTTCTTGATATCCTGTTATTTTGCCTAAAGAAAAATATACACAAAAAACAAGATATTATTTCAACTGTATAGAATTATCAACTGTCAATCACAACACAATGTTGATGAAAATGGATGATGAAATGCACATATATAGGTTACAAACAAGACAACTACACACAAAAAGCAAACTACAAATATTGTCACTCACTACAACTCTGCTAATGCACTAGATTATTAAATAACAGTGGAGGCAGTGGTAGTTGACAGTAACCTAAAGCAACTAATCACAGGTCAGACAGCAATAGTAAAGCAAAAATTGTTATAAAAAAAAAACGTATTTATATTTGCCATAGATTACAGCAAATCACTGGTCTCTTTGGTGAATAATAAACTCAACTTTCACTCATATTTTAACCCCTTCCCAGCATTCCTGTAAACAGTTCAGAACGCCCAAGGGCCAGAAAGGATCGGAGATCATGTGACTAATGTCACAGGATAGGAAGCTGGTCCTGCCAGCAACCCCATCTTCAGCCCAGGATGAGAGCTGTCTTTGACAGCTCAGCCTTTATGCTAGGAGTGCACAGTGAGTGCGCTCTCAGCACAATAATATCAGCAGCCCAACGACATATGTGCAGTGTGTGGGTTTTAAAGCACACCCTTTTGCTACCACATATATGTGCTGGGTGGTTGTAAAGGGATTAAAAGTGTTTTTGTGGCTTTATTAATAAGAAAGGTAATCAATTTGGACTTATGCAGGCCATAGATGGGTCGAAAATCGGCCGATTTTTCGGCCGAAAAATAAAATCGGCCGAATTTCGGATCGTTAGTGGGCTCTTTGTTCGGCCGTTTTTCGGTATTTTGGCAGATTTTTTTTATCGGTAAAGTTGGAAAAAAAATCGGCCGATTTTGCCGATCGGCCGATTTTCATGGCAATGATGGGCAAATCGGCCGATTTTTTTACCGATAAAAAATCTGCGCATGAGCAGTGACCTGCAAGAGGAAGAAAAAAAGAAGAGGAGAAGAGGAATGAGGATGAAGAAGAAGATGAATAAGAAGAAGATGATGAGGAAGAGGAAGAAGAAGAGGATCATGATGATGATGAAGAAGAAGAGGATCATGATGATGATGAAGAGGAGGAGGATGATGCTGAAGCAGAGGATGATGATGAAGAAGAGATGATGAAGAAGAGGATGATGATGATGATGAAGAAGAAGACGATGATGATGATGAAGAAGAAGACGAAGCAGAGGATGATGAAGAGGATGATGATGAAGAAGAGGATGATGATGAAGAAGAAGCAGAAGAGGATGATGAAGCAGAAGAAGAGGATGATGATGAAGAAGAAGCAGAAGAAGAGGTTGATGAAGAAGAAGCAGAAGAAGAGGATGATGAAGAAGAAGCAGAAGAGAGATGATGATGATGAAGAAGAAGAGGATGATGATGATGAAAAAGAGGATGATGATGAAGAAGAAGAGGGATGAAAAATAAGAGGAATTCCAGGCCTGCAAAAAGTGTCTCTGCAGAGAGCTCCGCTATTTCTTTGACAGTTCCTTGACATTTACAGCGGTTGCAACATTGTATCTATTTGTTTCCGAATAAAAACATCTGTATCCTAAATGGATACAAATAGATACATTGTTGCAACCGCTGTAAATGTGAAAGAACTGTGAAAGAAATAGCGGAGCTCTCTGCAGGGACACTTTTTGCCGGCTGTAGACGGGATGAAAATCGGCCGATTTTTTTTTACCATTGGTGGTAACGTCGGCCGCTTGAACGACCGATTGTTCATTTTTTAAAAGAAAAATCGGCCGTTTTTCTCCCCGTCTATGGCCTGCATTACCGTCTATGTAAACCGTAACAATGAACTTCTCTCGTTGGCTCCAGTCTGCTGGCTTAGGTCTGCTAAATATGCCATTGAAACAGTTTTGTGTATATCTGATCAATAAGTACAAACAGTTCCTGGTGACTTTGCCAGAAATTTGTCTGCTTGTAAGTTCCCGTGTTCTCTGCCTGTGCACAAGGAGATGACAGAGGTCTGTGTTCTTTGTAATTCATCACTAATGAAGAAGGCAGGGCTGACACCATGTGCTTAGGAGTTCAGAGCTGTGTTGTCATGTCAGAGGAAGGAACGCTATATTTCTGGCATATCAACAGTTAATTTTTTGTACTTGCAGTGTGTTTAAAGGGATAAGCATGGGGAAATGTGCATGTATTGTAGAGATATACAATATATTTTTTTTTTATTTCTTGACATACACTTTAAAATAGCTCATGGAGCAATTAAGCACTGCCTACCCAGGCTGGAACTACATGGGAAAAGCCCTATTAACCAATTGTCATTTCCATCTTTTTGGAAATCCCCTTTAAGAATGCAAAAAGACCTCAGCAGGACTCTTGTACAAGGTTCCAATTAACATATACCAGAAATGTGAGATATCAAAATTAAATCTAGTTATGTAGAGAATGTTTATTTAGGTTTAACAAGTAATTTTTTTCCTTCTGTGAAAACTCCTGTCCTTGTTGATAAGGTTGGACTTGGAAATGTTCCTGCTATGCAGTTTGTTTGTTTGACATTTGGCACACCAGTTTATTGGTCTGTAACCAACCTCTAACATCTAGTGAGCTGGCACAGGGCTCGTCTCTCAACAGCAAGCTCTTTGGCAACCATGCATGCTTTACGGGATCCACCTAGAGACCAATAGATGTAAAAGGCCCCTGAAGGGCAAGTAAGGGGAACCACACCAGGACTGGTGCCTTTCGGGTAGATCTTGTAGTAAGCATCCAGTGGATGGTGTTACTAATTACTAAACAATATGCTAACCGAAGAATAGCCTCTTTAAAGATTTGAAATGTCATTTTTTGGGGGGTATGAAATGCATGGAAATGGAAATCTTTACAGGTAGCGAATGTTTATATTTTTATTAAAAAAAAAAAAAAGTAGTATATACAGAATACCTGCCTTACCCTAAGTAGCAAATTAGCCCTGGTTCACACCTGTGCAACTTCCGGAACGATATGAGATTTACAAAGCTGCATTTAATGTATTTCTATGGCACGGTCCTAATCAGTGAAATTTGAAGTAGCACGATTGGAAAAAAGTAGTGCAGGAACTGTTTTAAATTTCACTGCAGCTTGCATTGACTTCTGTTAAATGAAGTTACAAGCCACAGTGAAATCGAAGGTACAAATTGCACTGATCTGCAGCTTTGAAATCACGCTACTTCAAGTGAAGTAGCGTGATTGGGCAGCACAGTGGCTAAATGGTTAGCACTTCCACCTGGCAGTACTAGGGTCATTGGTTTGAATCCCAACCACGGCAGCACCTGCCTGGAGTTTGCATGTTCTCCCTGTGCCTGCGTGGGTTTCCTCCAGGTACTCCAGTTTCCTTCCACACCCTAAAGAGTAGGTTAGCTGGATCCTATCTAAATTGGCCCTAGTATGTGTATGAATGTAAGTTAGGGACCTTAGATTGTACGCCCCTTGAGGGTTAGGGACTGATATGAATGTACAACATATATGTGAAGGGCTGCAGCAATTGACAGCACTATATAAGTACCTGAAAATACAATAAAAAATACATTTCAAAGTGGCATTCAGTGTGAACCAGGTCTAAAACCAGTATATAACTCCTGACCTTACATCAAAGCATACCGTGGATAACAACACTAAAGACAGCACCTAATAACCAATAGGATTTCAGCCTAGAGACAGCAGATAAGTTGAATCCTGATTGGTTGCCATGGGTTAACGTATGTTGCATTATTGGAGAAAAAAAAACCCAAAAACACATAATTGTGTAAAACAGTTCTGAGCTTAGGCTGGTTTAATGCACCTTCAGTTGCCCCTAAAAAGTGCACAAACATTCTGTACCCGATTTCAGTAGGCCACCTGCACTGCAGTTGTGTTGCTACTGTATGTAAATTGAATTGTACATGCGTTATAATTGCTTCAAATTATACACAAAATGGAGAAAGTAACTTTGGAAAACGCATGTAAAAATGGATAAAATGCCATTTAAGATGTATCCACAGGTGTATGAATGTACCCTAAAAGATAGAGGTCAGCAACTCCTGAAATAAAGACTACATTCACACCTCTGCATGAGGGCAGGTTGTAGGTTGTTGCTACATTACAGTTCATGCTTATGGAAAGTGTGTTCTGATAAAACCAAAAATGTAACAATTTTTTTTTTTTACACACTGTGCCTAAATGCAGGTGTAAATGTACTTTTCAACAGAGTCTGTAATATTTCATTACAGGAACAGGGTTGTGCATTTTAAAATGTACAAACTGGTTATGACAAGTGTTTGAAAGTCACAGGAATAAGAAAAAAGTCTCATAATCAGGTCTGCTTTTAGAAATGATATGGAGTCCCATTAGATGAAAGAAGTGGGACTGATGAAAGTTTCTGATAAAAATTCCATTAAAAATTCCCATTCCGTTAGGAGTAACTGTTATTTCTGCAGGATGAATTGGTCAATAAATTCGGTCTGCTCAGCTTCTACTTTACAAAGAGCTTCATATTCTATCTGATACCTAAAGGAAAATAATACAGAGTTTTTAAAGTGAAGAAAGAATCCTTAAATATTCAGTTCACAATATTTTTTGTACATACATCGATATCATTTTTAACATAGCTTTCCTTCCATCTCTATAGATACCAGGGGTGGACTGACAACTCATGGGGCCCCCGGGCAATAGGGGATCATGGGGCCCGTGTCCTTGCCCAAACTCAAAAAAGCCTATGAAAAAAGGTACCAGGGGCATCTCATGGGGCCCCCTACTGACCCCGGGCCCTCATGCAGTGCCCAAGTTTCCAAATGGTCAGTCCGCCCCTGATAGATACCTCATAGAACCCCAACAATTATCTCCAGAATAAGCAAGTGAAATCCTTAAATCCCCACTCCTTCCCAACTCCCTTATACTCAACCTTACCAATGTCCCTCCAATGCTACTTCCCATGTTGCAGCCAGCAAAGTGATCTGGTGCTTACGTGTAAGGGGGAGCGCTTGATCTCCTCCCCTATGACAGTGCTTAGGGCTGACAGATGATCCATAAGCCCAGGAACGGTCATATGACTAAGGCAGGAACATCGCTGCATCCCCTGGTTGTTGACACTCCTGATTTCAGTACCAGCTGCGAGAAAGGGGCAGTGGAGCACAGGCAAGATATATACAGGAGTGGTCGGGAGGACATACAATGGCCAAGGTGATAGTGTTTCTTTAAACTAAGGTTTTTACTCCCTCCATGAATAGTGTTAAAACTAGAGCTTCTAAGCCTTGAAAAGTAATATTGTGAATAGCAGACAAAAAAGATTCCAAATATAAAAATGTATTACATAAAAAAAAAAAAAAGGCACACAACAAAACAAAAGTTCATGTCTGTAAAGAACTATTAAGGATATTGATGTGTGTTATCTTAAATTACAAAATACATGACTCTCGAATATAGGTAAAACAAATCTGTCACAGCAAAATACTTGTGATGGGACAGCCATTTCCTGACCTATGTATCACAAGCTAGTTCAGGACAGTGAAGCTAAAAGTATAGAGTCACCGGCGAGTCTGCAGCACGCAAGTCAGGCAATGGTTACTTCTAGTGGTACATTGAAATGAAAATTCTGGACCAAAGCCCAAAATTCAGGATGCACTTGGCCGAAAACTGAAACCAAAATGACAATTTTAAAAAAAAATTATATTTAACTTTTGAATTATTATAATGAATAATATATATATATATATATAATGAATTTAAATGAATGTGAATTTAAAAAATACAATCTAGTAACGTAAAATAACTTTTATTAAAGAAACACAAAAATTGGACAGAAAATAAAATGCAACATATATAAAATGAAACAACGTAAATAGAGTTTTTGCATTGAAGTCAATGATACGTGATTTTGCATTGAAGTCAATAGGGGGCATTTTTGCATTGAAGTGGAACATGATTTTGCATGGAGGACAATTATGATTATCATCATCGGGTTTTTTCTTTATTTTTTTTAAATCGGCAAAATGCCGATAACCCCATTTTCAGGCGATAAATCGGTGCATTACTAGTTACTTCCAATGGAGCCTAATCTCACAGCTGCTTTCTTTCATTAAAGTTCCTTTAAGCCAAAAGTCTCCAAATTTTCTAAAGAAAGGGCCATATTATGGTCCTTCAGACTTTAGGAGGGCCATAAATGCACCTGGGTTAGTGGGATTATATAAAGCCTAACAGGCTTGCTTGGTTGCCGCAGTGGGAGTAAGAACATTACATAGCACCTGTAGTCAGTCAGAGGAATAGCGCCTCAACTTTGGAGTCAGTAGAAGGAATAGTGCCCCTTCATTGGTGTGAGTAAAAGGAATAGTGCCCCATCACTGGCTTCAGTGGAAGGAATAGTGCCCCGTCATTGGTGTGAGTAAAAGGAATAGTGCCCCATCACTGGCTTCAGTGGAAGGAATAGTGTCCCATCACTGGCTTCAGTGGAAGGAATAGTGCCCCATCGCTGGCGTCAGTGGAAGGAATAGTGCCCCATCGCTGGCGTCAGTGGAAGGAATAGTGCCCCATCGCTGGCGTCAGTGGAAGGAATAGTGCCCCATCGCTGGCGTCAGTGGAAGGAATAGTGCCCCATCGCTGGCGTCAGTGGAAGGAATAGTGCCCCATCGCTGGCGTCAGTGGAAGGAATAGTGCCCCATCGCTGGCGTCAGTGGGAGGAATAGTGCCCCATCGCTGGCGTCAGTGGGAGGAATAGTGCCCCATCGCTGGCGTCAGTGGAAGGAATAGTGCCCCATCGCTGGCGTCAGTGGAAGGAATAGTGCCCCATCGCTGGCGTCAGTGGAAGGAATAGTGCCCCATCGCTGGCGTCAGTGGGAGGAATAGTGCCCCATCGCTGGCTTCAGTGGAAGGAATAGTGCCCCATCGCTGGCGTCAGTGGAAGGAATAGTGCCCCATCGCTGGCGTCAGTGGGAGGAATAGTGCCCCATCGCTGGCGTCAGTGGAAGGAATAGTGCCCCATCGCTGGCGTCAGTGGAAGGAATAGTGCCCCATCGCTGGCGTCAGTGGGAGGAATAGTGCCCCATCGCTGGCGTCAGTGGAAGGAATAGTGTCCCATCACTGGTGTCAGTGGAAGGAATAGTGCCGCATCATTGGTGTGAGTGGGAGAAAAAGTGCTCCAATGTCGATGTCAGTGAAAGAAATAGCATCCCAGGGCTGGCTCCAGACAAGCATAGGGCATCTGGCCGTAGTTCAGGGACCATTACTTTAGTGTGTCAGTTAAAGCTGGTAGTAAACTGTTGCTGAAAAAAAAAAAACTGGTCCCCCTGCAGGGTAAATCATAATGAACTAGTACGCACCGCCATACTAGCACATTATGACAAACTTACCTGTGAAACAGGTATCTCCAGCGGCACCGTCACCACTGACAGGGAATCCATCTTTACCTGGTCTTCTTCCAGGTTTGCTGGCTGCAGCCCTTTAATTGGTCAAGCTGCAATGACGTCACTCCTGTGCATGCGCACAGGAGTCACTGTTTATGGCACAGGGCTCAGAAGGAACGGCACACGGATATGCCGTTCCTTCAGAGCATATGTGCCGGTGACATCACTGGCGGCTACACAGCTAAATGTCTCCTAAATGGTGCACGTTTAGGAGAGATTTACGGTACCTACAGGTAAGCCTTGTTATAGGCTTACCTATAGGCACAAAGCAAAGCAGTTGACTCCCTCTTTAAGCAACATACAGTGGGGCAAAAAAGTATTTAGTCAGCCACCAATTGTGCAAATTCTCCCACTTAAAAAGATGAGAGAGGCCTGTAATTGGCATCATAGGTAGACCTCAACTATGAGAGACAGAATGAGAAAAAAAATCCAACAATCACATTGGCTGATTTGGAAAGAATTTATTTGCAAATTATGGTGGAAAAAAAGTATTTGGTCACCTACAAAAACAAGCAAGATTTCTGGCTCTCACAGACCTGTACCTTCTTCTTTAAGAGGCTCCTCTGTCCTGCACTCATTACCTGTATCAATGGCACCTGTATGAACTTGTTATCAGTATAAAAGACACATGTCCACAACCTCAAACAGTCACACTCCAAACTCCACCATGGTGAAGACCAAAGAGCTGTTGAAGGACACCAGAAACAAAATTGTAGACCTGCACCAGGCTGGGAAGACTGAATCTGCAATGGGCAAGCAGATTGGTGTGAACAAATCAACTGTGGGAGCAATAATTAGAAAATGGAAGACATACAAGACCACTGATAATCTCCCTCGATCTGGGGCTCCTCGCAAGATCTCACCCCGTGGGGTCAAAATGATCCAAGAACGGTGAGCAAAAATCCCAGGACCACACGGGGGGACCTAGTGAATGACCTGCAGAGATCTGGGACCAATGTAACAAATGCTACCATCAGTAACACACTACGCCGCCAGGGACTCAGATCCTGCAGTGCCAGACGTGTCCCCCTGCTTAGGCCAGTACATGTCCGGGCCCGTCTGAAGTTTGCTAGAGAGCATTTGGATGATCCAGAAGAGGATTGGGAGAATGTCATATGGTCAGATGAAACCAAAATAGAACTGTTTGGTAGAAACACAACTCGTCGTGTTTGGAGGAGAGAGAATGTTGAGTTGCATCCAAAGAACACCATGCCTACTGTGAAGCATGGGGGGTGACAACATCATGCTTTGGGGCTGTTTCTTTGCAAAGGGACTAGGACGACTGATCCATGTACAGGACAGAATGAATGGGGCCATGTATCGTGAGATTTTGAGTGCAAGCCTCCTTCCATCAGCAAGGGCATTGAAGATGAAATGGGGCTGGGTCTTCCAACATGACAATAATCCCAAACATACCACCTGGGCAACGAAGGAGTGGCTTCGTAAGAAGCATTTCAAGGTCCTGGAGTGGCCTAGCCAGTCTCCAGATCTCAACCCAATAGAAAACCTTTGGAGGGAGTTGAAAGTCCGTGTTGCCCAGCGACAGCCCCAAAACATCACTGCTCTAGAGGAGATCTGCATGGAGGAATGGGCCAACATACCAGCAACAGTGCGTGCCAACCTTGTGAAGACTTACAGGAAACGTTTGACCTCTGTCATTGCCAACAAAGGATATATAACAAAGTATTGAGATGAACTTTTGATATTGACCAAATACTTATTTCCACCATAATTTGCAAATAAATTATTTCCAAATCAGCCAATGTGATTGTCTGGATTTTTTTTCTCATTTTGCCTTTCATAGTTGAGGTCTACCTATGATGCCAATTACAGGCCTCTCTCATCTTTTTAAGTGGGAGAACTTGCACAATTGGTGGTTGACTAAATACTTTTTTGCCCCACTGTACTTGAGCTTTGAAACCTTCTGAAATTGTAAAATTGTGTAACGGAGTTTAAATATCACCAAATATTCTTATCTACTACTCTTCACCTGTGACTGCCACATATAGGAGGGATATGTCCAATTAAATTATTTTATTTCCTGAATGTCTGTAAGTGTGCTTGTAGTTCACATAAACACTATCATTCCACTCTCATTTAAATCACTGAACAACCCTTAAAATGTTGTTTTTAGATACAGAAATAATACTAGATCAGCATTTACTACAAGGTTATCTCACGTTTCCACCTTCTGCCCTTTTGAGCTTTACTTTTGATTAGAACTGTGTGTAAATTATCAAAGGCTATGGGGGTTGATCAGAAGTATAGTAGTAGTGGAGGTGAATAGTACAGGGCCCAATCTTTTTTTTTTTTTTTTTCAGTGTGTGAATCTTGCAACACTCATAAGGCTCTTACAGTAATCTTAGAGTGGACGTAAATCTCACATGTGAAAAAATTAACACATTACAACCTATACTGTGTGCTAGCCTGATTTCAAATCTCCTAGTGTGGTTGCCCTGGTCCCTCTGCTATGTGCATGAGTCACCGTTAGTCTACTAGGAGATGTCCCCCCCCCCATAAGCCTGTTAGAGGGGTGTGTGTCCATTCCTTCCAATTACCTATCAGATTTGTGATAGAGCTCTGTTCTTTAGCTCCATCAGATCCCCAACCCTGCTTTCCGAGACTGAGAGCAGTCCTTTGATCTGTGTATTTTAGACCCATCTACAGGACAAATGGCTGCAGATATAACAGGTAAACTTTTGTAGGGGTATTTGTTTCATCTCTGTGTATCACCTGATGTTAGGTACTTCACAGAGTATAAGTAAAGATGTACAATCACTTTAAACTGTTGTGCCCTGCTCAGGGGCGGACTGACCATTTGGAAACTCGGGCACTGCCCGAGGGCCCGGGGTCAGTAGGGGGCCCCATGAGATGCCCCTGGTACCTTTTTCATAGGCTTTTTTGAGTTTGAGCAAGGACACAGGGGCCCCATGATCCCCTATTGCCCGGGGGCCCCATGAGTTGTCAGTCTGCCCCTGGCCCTGCTCAGACTACAACACTGCAGTTATCTGCGTTGCGGAAAAATGCAGACATTCTTCATTTTTTCTGCAATGCATTGAATGGCAAAGCAAGTCAGTGCACAGCAGGACATCACACCGCTGTGCAGAAACTTAAATGCAGTGTAAACTCCCAATAAGGTTTAAAGATCTGCTGATCGCTGGTGCAATGCTTTACAGGCTCCTACTACAAAAAATAATAAGTGCAAAAAAATGTGCATTTATTATTGTTTGAAGAAAAAAAGTGTGCACACCCTCTTTTTTAAAAGAAAAAAAAAAAAAAAGGACACCGTGAGTGTTTTCGTGTGAGTAATGTGACCAGGCCCTTAAACACATCAACATACAACCTCGTATTCTATACTATTACACATTGAACACCAAAAACAAAGTTTAAAGTGGTAGTAAAGTTATCTAAAATCTGCTGACAGGCAGGGTTTTTATAACAGAAGTGACTCTAGTGGTCTCTTCTGTCATAAATTTCCCCCTGCCTGTGTGATAGATATTTTGGGTCTACAATAATTTTTAACATTATTGTGAACTTCTAATAGGGGTCTCAATTCCTATAACTTATCTACCATCTGTTGCATCACCTCAACACCCCCCTTAGAAGGTTTCCTGCAGAGGTTTATGACTGTATGGCCACCTGGCTGAAGAAGCCCTGAAGTCGTCATTTCTAACACCTTCTAGGGAGTATTGTCATAGATCTTCCTGTAGGAACTGGCTTCAAAGGAGGTATGCTTCCTGGACATTGGCCTATACAGTTGGCCAATATCTCTCACAAGTCACAGAGCCCTCCTTTGAACAAGAAATGGTAAAATATTGTAACTTATTGAAGGGTGTGCCTTTACTTGGAATGGAGGGGGAGGGAGTATAAAAGGTATGGCAGTCTCTTTGGCCCTTTTGCCCCTTTCAGAGCCCAGGAGTCAGGACATCAGGATGTCTGTGTAATGTACCACCATTGTTGTTTCTTTCCTGCAACTGTCTTTCCTATAGTCATCTCTCTATACTGGTAATATACTGTATGTTATACTGTAACATTATTTTTTTTGTAATATCATATTTTTTGTATTTCAGTATATTTGCTTCGATTTATAACTACTTGTCTTCTGTGTAAATAAATTAGATCTTTATATTTTGCACAGTTGTTATCCTTTGTTATTAACATTATTGGTGATAGCCACATGAGGACTGGTTGAATTCATGTATAGACAAAAGGTTGTAATCACTTATTAAACCAAACTTATAATCTTAGATAGAACGAAGTGAATAAGTGCGGTAGCAAAACCGCCAAAACACCTGTCAGCAGGTAAAGTGATCTGAGGCACGCATGCGCAGCTCTGACCGCATTGATAGCCTGCGTGCTGTGGCAATGTGGTTCCCGAATGCATGGGAGTGAGGTTGCTGCAACCTGGCCATTCAAGCGCCCAAAGATACCAACCCAGAAGGAACACTGAGCAAAGATGAAAGCATCGGGAGACCCGTGATAGCACTGCGCTGGAGGGCTCTATTTGGAGGCAAGTCTGTTTATTTTTCAGCTATGCCTTTACTACCACTTTAAAGGAAACCAGTAGTAAAAGAAATATATAGGCTGCCATAGGTGCCTTCTTTTGAAAATAATGGTTGCCTGGCTAACCCTCTGATCACAGACTAACACATGTATGCAGTTTGGGACTGCTAATATCACTTTCTTGCTTATTTCTGTCCAGGAATTCAGAAAAAACTGAAAGCAATGGCAGCCAACATATTTCTATCTAAACAGGATTCTTTTTAAAGGGTATGTAAACCCCAACAATGAACTTCTCTTATTTGGTCCCTCTCAGTCTGTTAAATATACTATTAAATATATATTTTCAGATTTGAGACTCCCCTCTGTGTTATGGAGAAAAGGAAAGAGGGTGGTACCTTTAGTCCTGTATGGTTTCTGTTTCCCTGATAGAGTAAGTGAGAGTTGTTACCAGGGGCGGACTGACAACTCATGGAGCCGCCGGGCAATAGGGGATCATGGGGCCCCTGTGTCTTTGCCCAACCCTCAAAGCACACCCAAAAAAGCCTATAAAAAGGTACCAAGGTCATTTCATGGGGCCCCCTACTGACCCCGGGCCCTCGGGCAGTGCCCGAGTGTTTGAACGGTCAGTCCGCCCCTGGTTGTTACCCTGACAGGAAGTGCAGTGTCTGCAGAATCGCCAGATGAAAATAAAGAAAAGAAAAACAATACTAATCTACCACATATATATTTTTTTGAGGGGATAGAAAGATTGTTAAAATATACTTATTTCCAGTAATTTATAGCTCTAGGAGATAATGGCCAACTCCTGCTTCTATAGGTTAAAAGGCCTGACATACTAAAGATCCAAGTTTATTTTTATTTATTTATCACAGGTACTTAATGTTGTCAATTTTCGCAGCTCTTAACACATATATTGTAATTTCACATCAGTCCCTGCCCTCAAGAAGCTTACAATTTAAAGGTCCCTTACTCACATTTATACATTTAGACAGGAGCCAATTAACCTACCAGCATGTCTTTGGGGTGTGAGATGAAACAGGGGTAGCCGGAGGACACGCAGGCACAGGGAGAACATGCAAACTGTGCAGGTAGTGCCGTCATTGGGATTCGAACCAATGGCCTTCGTGCTGCTAGGTGGAAGTGCTAACCACTTATCCACTGTGTGCAGCTTACTTCTCTTTTAAATGCACATATTATTGTGTATAAAGGTGTACCTCGGTTTACAAATGCCTCGGTTAATGTAATTTTCGGTTTCCGAATGAAAATCCATTGAAAATAATGCCTCGGTTTATTCATTTTCTAGAAATTGTTTCGCAATATGAAGTGTATGTCGGTGCCGAATTTTAAATGCAATTGTTGGCTTTTTTTTTTCTTCACTGTCACTTTCCCCGGAGTTTAAAGGATACGTTCTTTTATTTCGGGAAACAAACTAAAAGGAAACATTGTTTCTTTTAACTCTGGGAAATAAACGAAAAGGAAACTTTATTTCTTGTAGCTGGAGGGAAAGTGACAGCTGATTCTCTGAGCTATAGTGAAGAAAAAAAAAAAAAAAAAAAAGCTGGTAATTACATTTAAAAAACAGCACTAACCTGTAGTGACAGCAACTTTTTTTTGTACTTTTTTCTGACCCCCGGAACGGATTAATTGGTTTTCAATGCATTCCTATGGGAAACAGCATTTCGGTTTACGAATTTTTCGCAATACGAAACGTCCCAGAGAACGCATTAAATTCGTAAACCGAGATACACCTGTATATGATATCTCTTTGGAGCCTGGGCTGCAAGATATCTTCTCAATGATTAGAAGCATCATTTCTAGTTTTGTTATAATCAATTCCATGATTTTGCTAGACTCCAGCAGGCAGCTACTTGGGTTTGAAATACCACAATTACTCTGATCAGCCATTAGGGTCTTTAGCAGACTGAAAAAGCTGGAAGATGAGTATTCACCCATAACGGACATATATCATGTATGGATGCCATTACCCAGCAACCATACTATTTGTTATTCTGTTTCTTCCATATATATATATATATACAACAACTGGTAAAACATACCGAGCGCCAAACAACTGTCATTATGGTGTTCACCTGGCACTTACAATACATAAAACTAGCGATAGAAAAAAAATCTGATATCTCACCTTTCTAATTGCATCTTCTTTTCTGCTATTAACGCATGCAGTTGTTGTTGCTGTGCTTCTCGTTGTTTAGCGATGGATTTCAACAGATTGCGAGCACCAATAGCCTAAAGAAACAAAAGCTATGATTCTATTATGTGTCAATACACATATATACACTAAAAAGATATTATATTTGCCAGTTGATCTGACTTGTACTTACAGCAGGTAAAATATGTATGGTCAAAATGTAAAATCATAATAATTTCCACATTTAATTTCAATTATTTGTAGCCTACTCCTATTAGTCTGAATTATTGTGAAGTCTGAAAACTTGGTTTTTGAAAAATCCTACACATTTACACATTAAATGCAGTGCCACTGTGAGGAGGTCACACATTTCACACAGCCTGTCTTTTGAACTACAGAGGTGCTGAGAAAGAGAAAAAGAAAAGTACATGAATCATTGCTTGCAGGCAGCAAGGTACCATGGGATATGTAGTCCTTAGAAATGGAAAGTAAACAGCAGAAGAGAAGCTGCAAAGAATGTAGGGAATCCAGGAAGTTGTGGAAAGAGATGGCCAGCAGAAAGGCAGAATTCACAACACGAAAGGGGAATTTTCAAGTAAGTTTATATTGGATTGTCAATCACAACTCTTGTTTGTATTGTTATTACAATGCTGGTGTTTGTGCTTAGAAAAACACACAGCTCTGCCTTGGATAATAAAGTGATATTAGGCCTTTATTTTCTTTTCACTATTTCAGCTGCTCATGTAAACACTTAGGGCCCTGCTTACACAGACAAAAAACAGGTGTTAAAAACTGGCAGTTGATCTGCTTTTGTCCCCTGACCTAAAACCTACCATGGCGGCCAGAGGAGCTCATAAACATGCAACAACTGCAATGCTTTACAGCCACAGCAAATGTAACTTTGCATGTTGAGTTTGACAGGTGACACTTGAAGATCAAACTTGCCCATTGAAGTCAACAGGACCGTGGCACAACTGCAAACCAAACAGTAGAATGCAAAATCAGCCTTTCTGATGAAACAAAAAAAACAAAAAACAAAAAGGCATTCAGGAGGCATCAGTATCACCTCCTGAATGCCCCTGCTCTACCACTTTCTGAAAAGCAATCCACTGCAGGTCAATTTGAGGGGAGGTAGAGACTATATGGCCACTGTATTTGAAAATGGTAGACTGGACATTTGGGAACTATGGCAACTTAGACCCGGAGGAACGAAAAGCAGTACTAGAGTTAAGAGAAGCAAAACGTCTTTTGATTAAGAGAAGCGATAAAGGGGGAAATGTTGTCCTCCTTAGTGAGACAATCTACCTAAAAGAAGTAAAACAACAATTGGACGACCACATGACTTATAGACTTCTGGAAACTAACCCCTTCCCAAATTTAGTTGACACACCTAATGATAAGCGGGAAATGGCCAAGGAATCTGCCCTACTAACTAATCGAGAGTTTAACTACTTAAAGGTACATGACTATAGCATACCAACCTTTTACATAATTCCAAAAGGTACATAAGAACTTCACCAACCCCCCCAGGAAGACCAATTGTCTCCGCAGTTAAGGGACTACTTGAAAGGGTTGGAAAATACCTTGATCTTCTGTTAAAGGACATAGTATGTCAATTAAAGTCATTTGTACAGGACACTAGAGATGTCCTAGCTCGGTTAAATGAACTTAAAGACAATCTTTGGTTGATAGGGATAAATGTTGAATCACTTTTCCCATCAATGTGGATTAGAGCCAGTTGAATTCTTTTTTAATTATTATTTCCCTGAAATGGGCCACCAAAATGAATTTATTTTGGATCTGTTGGAATTCGCCTTGAGTAACAATTTCTTTTAATTTTCGGGAGATATTATCAACAGATTCGTGGTAACTCGATGGGGACTCCCTGGGCTCCTGCCTATGCATGCCTTCATTTAGGCATGTGGGAGGAACAGGATGTCTATACTTGTCTATACTTTGTCGATGTACCAATGCCATGTATATTCGTGGCCAAGGTACATCGATGACATATTAGTCCTCTGGAAAGGAGATATTGATATCTTCAGTCAATTTATGAATCATCTAAATTAAAATGCCAGAAATATCCATCTGATGATTTATACATTTGACAGTAGACAAATCTCCATCCTTGATCTCTCCATCTCAATAGAGGAAAGCAGTCTAGTGACCCGCACCCATTGTAAAGATACAGAAGCAAACACCTTGCTACGGCTGATAGCCACCATCCTGCTTGGCAAAAAAAAATGGGATACCCGTAGGACAATTTCTTCACATTAAGCAAAATTGTACTAACAAAACTGACCATAAAAAAAGGCTAGGGACCTCTATGCCCGCTTTCAGGAACGGAGGTATTCATATAGACAATTACGTAGAGCTAAGAGAAAGGTTGCCAACTATGATAGGAATAGCCTCTTAACCAAAAAACCACAGCAAGAAGAAAAAACCCAGATGACCCAGTAAGATTAATTACATCATGTGGCTCCCAATGGGAGAAAGTAAGGGAAATTCTTCAAAAACACTGGAGTACACTTTTCAATAGCCCTGGGCTTGACACCATAGTGGGGGAATCTCCACAGATGTTGGCTAGAAGGGCACAAAACCTTGGAGACATTTTGATTCACTCTGAATATATTAAAACCTCTAGTGACTGGCTCTCTGAACACCCTAGAACTAGGGGAATGTTTCCATGTGGGAGATGCCGAATCTGTCAGTATGTGGATCGAACAAATGTCTTAAAGGATTCTGTGAAGGAAAAAAGTTTCCAAATGAAAGACTTAATCAATTGTTCTACATCTAAAGTAATCTATATGATCACCTGCCCTTGTGATAAAATCTATATCGGTAAGACCAAAAGACAACTAAAAGTTAGGATAGGTGAACATATAAGGGAAATTAAAGACTAGGATCCAAAAAATCTGGAAAAGCCACTTGCTAAACATTTTAGGAGATTCCATGGAGGTAACCCGAAGGGAATGAAAGTAAAAAGGTATTTTTGCACTAAAGCTTTCTCAAAGACGTGGTTTAGTTTTACTTAGAAGAGAAAAATGGTGGATATATAAATTGAGATCATTGGTCCTGTTAGGCCTTAATACTGAATTGAATCTCCAGGTCTTCTTCTAAGAATAATGGTTCGTAATCTCTTCTTTGTTTTTCATAACTCAATTTACCTGATTTTTACAGTTATTAAATTAATTACTATGATATCGGCTGACGGGTTTCAGCTGAAAAATGACACTCTTCTATTGGTCAGGTACAAAAGATAGTGTTTACTTTTAGAAAATTACATCGTATGGGTATGGACAGGGCGAGACACCATATAAAAGGAGTAACCACCCCGACCGCACGTAGCCCTGACGAAGCTATGCTTGTACATAAGTGAAATGCGTTGACATCACAAGGCGTCAGCTGATGTCACATCTTTATGCCCCCAAGCCGAGTCGCAATGGCCATGGAACATGCGGACGAAGAGATGACCGGCCAACTACATCCTTGAAAGCCTTACGATCTATCAGCAGATCTGGATCACACGAGGCCTCAAAATGGAGACAGTTGCGGACAGTTAAGACTGTGTACTTACTTACTGATCGGATCAGCCATGGGACAGTGACGGCAAACACGCACATACCTACATAGATTTGTATAGCCCTGATCAGGTGAAGAAGGAATGTTACAGCTCCCTGGCTGCACCTGCATTAAGAGTGTGCCTAATCACGTATACACAGTTAGTGGCTCTGCTCTATCATTGGATGGATATTGAGGTGGAGTCATTGTGTTGTTATACAACCACTGGTGCTGCTTCAACACCAGATGTATATTGAAGCGCAGGTATTGTGCTCCTTACGCCTATATTGGTGAAGTACTTACGCTCACCTTACCCTCAATATTCAATGTTGTACTGAATGGGCAATCTGTCTCCTTTGTTGGTCGAATCACCTTATATTGGACAAGTTGATGTTATCAAGGTTACTACACTTATGTCCACATAGTGAACACCATCCGCTTGATCTAGATGAACCAGGATAACTCCCAGTATTCTATACATGCATTATATGCCTGTGATTTATTTGTATGATACCACCTTTTTTGACTCTTGTAGCCTTCACTATTGTGGACACTGTAGGTGATCTAGAGTCGGTCTCCTACTGTTTCGGTGATAGAGTATTATCTAGAAACGAAGTCTCACCGGCTGTACCACCAATATTGGAACCATTAACGGCATATGGGCCCCGGGGCTTGTGTACATGTATGCCCTGTAGTGCTATTTCTAACAGCGATTGTCAGCCATACCCGTGTGGGTGGCACGTTGCAGGGGATACATGCACACAGTTAAATGACTAAATTTTTTTGCTATGAATAAATAATTATTTCTAAATTACGAAAAAAAAAAATGTACATATATGCCCTGTAGTGCTATTTTTAACAGCAATTGTTAGCCATATATACAGTAATAACTCGGTTTACAAACACCTTGGTTAACGTAATTTTCAGTTTACGAATGAAAATCCATTGATTCCCTCCTCATTGGCCTACCTCACCGTAGGCTATCCCCACTACAGTCCATCATGAATGCTGCTGCCAGACTCATTCACCTTACTAACCGCTCTATATCTGCCACCCCTCTCTGCCAATCCCTCCATTGGCTTCCAATTGCCCAATGGATAAAATTCAAAACACTAACACTGACGTATAAAGCTGTTCATAACACTGCCCCTAATTACATCGCCGACCTTGTCTCTAAATACCACCCAAACCATACTCTCCGCTCTTCGCAAGACCTCCTACTCTCTAGCTCCCTTGTCTCCTCCTCCCATGCTCGTCTCCAGGATTTCTCAAGGGCTTCACCCATCCTCTGGAACTCCCTACCCCAAGCTATCAGGCTATTGCCTACTCTGCTCATCTTTAGGCACACTCTGAAAATCCATCTCTTCAGGGAAGCCTACCCCGCCCCCAGCTAATACTGGAATCCACTACTCCTCCTACCACTCCATCATCCACAGCTAGTTACCTTTTTTACCACTATCCCCTCCCTCCTAGATTGTAAGCTTCAAGGAGCAGGGCCCTCTAATCCCTCTTGTATTGAACTGTATTGTTACTGTACTGTCTCCCTCCATAATGTAAAGCGCTGAACAAACTGTTGGCACTATATAAGTCCTGAATAATAAATAATAATGATAATAATGCCTTGGTTTACACATTTTTTATGAATTTTTTTTACAATACGAAGTGTATGGCAGTGCTGATTTTTAAATGCAATTGCCGGCTTTTTTTTTTTCTTCACTATAGCTCACAGAATTAGCTGTCACTTTCCCTGGAGTTAATGGAAACTTTGTTTCTTTTAAGAAGCTAAAAGGAAACATTGTTTCTCTTACCTTGGGGAAATAAATTAACAGAAAATATTCTTTTAGCTGGGGGGAAAGTGACAGCTGAATTTCTGAGCTATAGTGAAGAGAAAAAAAAGGGATAATTACATTTAAAAACCGGCACCATAATAACTTTTAAAAAACCGACGTGGGGTCCCCCCTCCCATCCATACCAAGCCCTTTGGGTCTGGTATAGATTTTGAGGGGAACTCCCATGCCAAGATTAAAAAAAAAAAAAAAAAAAGAAATGGCATGGGGGTTCCCCCCAAAATCCATAAAAAGATTTGAAAAAAAAAAGGGCTACGCTCCCTCCTACCTGTTCCGGTGGTTTGACAGTTCTTAAATATGTAAGGGGCGTGGCCACCCAGGGACATCACTGATGTCACTTGGGGTGGGGTCATATGCGTGATGTCCCTGGGTGGCCCCACCCCTTATATATTTAAGTACTATCAAACCACCGGAGCAGGCAGAAGGCTGGAAGCCATCATCAGAAGCGGAGACTTTTTTTTTTTATTATTCTTTTTTCGGGTCGGTGGCGGTGACGGCGGGCATCGTGATTGACATTGGATCTACTGAGAGGGACATTCTTTTACTTTTTTCTTTCAATAAAGGACTTGTCAAAGTCATGTACCCCATATTCATTTACATGGGGGGAGCGGAATCTGGGGGCCCCCTTGTTAATGGGGGCTTCCATTTTCCGATAAGTCCCCTGCCCACTGACCCCCACAACCACAGGCCAGGGTTGTGGGGAAGAGGGGCCTTGTCCCCATCAACATGGGGACAAGGTGCTTTGGGGGGAGAGCCCCCCCTGCCCAGGCATGCTCGGAAAAGGGTCTGATAAGGATTTTGGGGGACACCCCCCCCATGCTTTTTTTTACATTTTGGAGTGGGAGTTACCTTCAAAATCCGTACCAGACCGGAAGGGCTTGGTATAGATGGGAGAGGGGACCCTATGCCGTTTTTTAAGTTAATTTTTTAATTGCCGGCAATTCTCTTACATTCAGCTGTCAGTGGGGAACCCCGCTGACAGCTGAAAAATTAACACATGGTTGTCACTACTAAAATACCGCATGACTTGATAAAATAACTCATGCAGTCTTTTAGTAGCATTTACTTTTTTATGACCTTTGGAATGGATTAATTGGTTTTCAATGCATTCCTATGGGAAATGGCGTTTCGGTTTACAAATTTTTTGCTATATGAAAAGTCCTGCAGAACAAATTAATTTCGTAAACCGAGGTATTACTGTATATATACCCGTGCAGGTGGCATGTTGCAGGGGATACATGCACACAGTTAAATGACGTCCAGACGTCTTTATTGTTTGACAATGTTGTTCTATACTGTTTTCTATGTCTATGTGTATGTTGTGGCTATTGAGCACCACTTGCTATTATTAGCTTTTCACGCATTGCAACTTTTTTGCTATGAATAATTATTTCTAAATTACAATTTCTAATGCAAGTCTCGTTTTGCTGTTGGATTAACCACTTGTCCCATGGAGGGGGCTTTACCCACAACGTGCGACTAATTTTTTGTTTATTGATTTTGGTGTAGACAGCAACACTAATCTAGTGATGAGACAGTCAGTGTTCTTAATATTCCCTCTATTTTTTTTCCAGTGTAAATGAGGTCTTACTTAGTATGCCTCTTCCTCATGTTTTACACCTTGTCTTTAATATAGTTTTGTCTAGGTTCCCGCATCTCTGCCCCTCTCCACTTCTGGTTTTAGGGTGGCTCCTTTCCCTTGCCACCCCATCATACCCATAAAGCCCATAAAAGTAAAGTCCCTTTTTTCACATCACTACAAATGTGGACGAATCTGCACTAGCATATAAACCTTAAATACACAGGCCTGACCCTAATGTAACATTAGCACAAGATCAAGAGGAGTTTACACAAACTGAAAGAAATGACAAACCTTCATATGTTTCCAACTAGAAACTGCTGGCACTGCACATTCTGGCTCCATTCAGAGTGGTGAACGTGTTACAGTGTTTCATGGAACCAGGAAAGCGGGTTTAAATGGGTCAGTTATATTTCTAAGAATACATTTTAGCTGATTTCTTCTATTTTATCCCCCCCCTTTTTTTAATTTTGACAAAACCCAATAAAAGCTTTTTGACTGGAAAGAACAAGCAGCATTTGTCTTGGCCTGCCCTCCCTTCATAGCATCTGTTTTCTAATTAAATATAGTTCTGCTTTGAACAATTTCCCTGCCTCTCCAGTATCTATACCCTGATAAACATAACACAAAAGTGAATAATTTGTGGTCCCAGCCAGCCATATCAAACGCTGCAGTTCTAATGTAAAAAACCTATTATAAAAGCATTAATATTTAGGTGAAATGATATTATGCTTCAGATAAGCTTTATCGCGGTGCACAATTCATACAGCAGACACACACACACAATAATCATATCTGAGAAGACTGAAAATATGTAACGAGTCTATTTTTTACATAAATGAAGAATTGTTTCTACTGCAATTACTGGAATTCATGTCACAATATTCGGACAGCACACCTTCATTTTCTCATTTTCTGTTTCTTTAGCCAGCTGATCCACCATATCGATTAATCCGCCCACAATTTTCTGAAAATCACCGATTTCTGAAAGCACAACAAAAATGTTTTAGAACTCTTTATTAACCATACTAGGATAGATTCAGAGCATCTCATTCTTTTATATTAAGACTATCTACATAATGCACACACGGTAACATGTGGTGTTTTAAGTGTTAATATGCATTGTGTTGGGGCAGCCCATTCATTTGGAAAGGACTGTCACAATGCAGAGATGGTTATCATCATAAATTGCATGTGTGTTGAGGTGCACTGGAAAGGTGTGTTGAGATAGTAGAGATAGACAGCAGATTGTTTTACAGTAATGCACATAAAACATGCAAAGAAATACCTCAAATCTCTGTAAGAGCCCCAGTTCTTACATAGTAAAGTACACATATGTCTCCATTGTTCTCTGATATCAGCTATTCTAGACTAATAAACTGTGTTGACAAGCTGTGGGCTTATGTCAATTGGTGAATGCAGCTTTCTTAAAGGCAGGCCGTTGCCAATGCTGCCACCCATGTCCACGAAAAATGGCCGTTTTGCGGATTTTCCAGCATGACCAATAAAAATAAATGAGGAGATCCGAGAAAAAAAAACGGCCGAAGGGCTGGCCCCACTAACGGCGTGATTATCGGATGATTTTTTTTTGTGCGGACAAAAAAAAAAAAAATCGGCCGATAAACGACCCGTCTATGGCCTGCATAAGACATTGTTTAAGATGCTTGGAGGATATTTAAAATTCAGCAGGTTCAGTTGGCCTCCTTCCAACATGCATTTGGCCTGCTGCAACATGCTTTCACATTCCCATAGATTTGTACAGGAAGAAAAGCATTTTCTACTCAAACAAATGCCTATTGACTCAAGCCCAAAGGGCTCACCTAAATATAAGCTATGCCATGCAGTTCATAACACCACCCATCTATCACATTCAAACCGTTCTTTATTTTCTGTATCCCTATACCTAATAGTACCAATTATATACGGTATATTATATATATATATATATATATATATATATATATATATATATATACACACACACACACATACATATATATATATATACACACACACACATACATATACACGTACACACACAGCGCACTGTGAAGGACCATGCCTAGATGCAGCGGTTTTGGTGACAGAGTACAGTGATTGGTGTTCTATTAGTAGATATAATCACCGCACAAAAACTGCAGGTCATTTTGAACTGCATTTGTTTTCAATGAAGATATGGGATCAAAGCCTTAATGGTGCTTGCCGGTGGCCCCTATTCTATATGAGTTATAGAAGATTGTTGAAGAAATTGGAAAAATGCAGATTCCTGTTATATTTGCCTTTGCTAAAATATCTTCAATTCCAATAAAGCTGTAAACATACCTGTAAAAGCTATTAAAAGATCTTTCCAAAAACAACCTGTATTTTGATGGCCTTGTCTTTTAGTTTGCTGAATTGAGTTTTAATCCAATTAAAATTCCCTTGTCTAGCTTTATATCTATTATATTATCTATATATTAAGAATCAAAGTGTCAGTTTGTCCAAAATGATTATTTCACTTGTAGGTGGATCTGCCTGCCTGTGGAATTTTGACTTTTCCCACTGATTCTGTTGCATTTTTAAGATCTAAAACCAATTACAAATCTGACAAGGAGAATAGGACTCCTCATGACTGCTGTAGTAGTCTTAGTTTCTAAACCCCTTAAGCCATATGTAAATACAGCTAAAAATCAGAAATCTGATAGTACGTTGTAGGTTGTTAGACAAGGATGCTTAAACAAAAAATAGGGAAAGTATTGCATAGCATTTCTTTCTATATATATATATATATATATATATATATATATAATTTGTAATGTAGCAGCATGTCTTTTATTATTTTTTTTCCTTTTTTATACATAATTTCTTCTTGACCAAAATGTATATACAATATGTACAATAGTAATGTGAATTGTGAATGTGAATTGGCCTGTTTTACATGAAACATACAATATCCATTAGGTACTTAACGACATGTAGTTTTTTTTGCAATGCGTTGATTTGTGGTTGCTGTTTTTGCTTATTGTGTTAAACATTTTATACTTATGGATACTTGAGAAGCAGGCTTTAAACTGGTCTAATAAATGAAAACCATGTTTAACCTTCATAAAAAAAAATAAATATAAAAAAACATGCATGTCACTACATCACACACACATCACGTGTAGTAGTAACATTTTCTGTAAATGTTCTAGGTTTAAAATAGTTTCAATCTCTCTATGTGCGTGAAATCCTTATTTACAAGGACACTGCAAATTAAAGCTGAACTCCAGAAATTCAGCCACTTTAAAATCTGCTGACACATTATGAGTTCGGACAATGAGGTTCCACCTCCTGAACTTATTTCTTTAATTTACATCTGACAGTTTTACAGAGCTCTGGGAGCACAGCTATTGCTATACTCCCAGGGCCCTGACACTGATCTTTCACACAACAGCAGCTCTGCCCTCCCCTCCGTTGTGCAGCATCAGAGCACTGGAATTACACACAGGGATGCATAGTTGTTCTGTGCATCCCAATGCAGGCAACCCCATTGCTATCATTTGGGATGCAGCAGTTGCAGTGACATAGCTGCTGCTCCCTATGTGACAACTGTGGGGGAGCAGATGCGTAGCCTTGAATGCACCTGTGCATCCCTGTACAGGTAAAAACAACCCATCAGGCAGTACGCTTATGTATGCCCTGTGTGAACAAGGTCTGAGTGAATCCACTAATTAACAAGTTTTTGTCTGTGCCATGAGAGTGGAAAGGGGGTGTCCTCCTCTGAGGCAGTCCAGTCTTGTTCTGTGTTAGTGATATAAAGAAGCTAAAGAGTCAGCAGAAGAGCCGGACAACTTGCATTTGTAGAGTGTAAAATCACCACGATTCTTTCAGGAAAGGTTTCCTCTTTCAATCCAGACTTGCTTAGAGCTCAACCTGTATGCTGCAAGCGTAAATGTGAAATGTTCACTTGCAATTTTAAAAATGTACCTAAACTCTAAGGCTCCATGCACACTAGGGTTTTTTTAAGCTTCTAGAAGCTATTATGAGCATTTTTTTTCTGTTCCTAGAAGCCAATAGTGTTATCCAATGTGTCCATGCACACCATTTTATGCTAGAAGCATTTACTCAAGATTCAGCGTTTAGGAGCAGAAAGAAAAATAGTTTTTGTAGCATTTTTGGGAGTGTTTTCCTGGCAGATAAACAAAACAAAACACTGAACACTCCTAAAAACTTTCAAGCGTTTTTTTTTTCTGCATGTAAAAAACACTAATAAAACGCTACTACGAGCTGGCACAAAACCACCATTATCAGCGTTTATCATCCAGCATTTTTTCTTAGCATTATTTTAGCTTATAAAAACGCCAGTGTGCATGAAGCCTTGAAGTTAACCATGCACAATCCCGTAGATGGCCCCACAACATAACTAATCTCCCGAGTTGTGTTTCGAAAGGAATTCAATTTTTTATATTTCTCTTTACAATGTAAGGCTTATTCTAAAAAATTCTTTATTTATGGTAATGTACATAAAATAAAGAAAGGAAGGACCTCCTGCGCTGCAAATGGACAAACCCTACCCTAAGCAGCTAACACCTAGCTTCAACCATAAAGCACACTGAACATATACAAAAAATTGTGTAGCACTAAGAAAATCACACGTTTATAAACGCATAGATCAACAGATAAATATAAATACACACGTGACCATCCACTCAAAAATAAACCCCAATGTGGGGATCAGGTGGAAGTGAGACAAGTTATTCCTCTCAGGGGAACATGTAAACAACACACGTGAAAATTGTCCAAACTGTGTATTCAGATAAATGCAGTCCATATATTACACCCAAATAGGTGCAGGAATACAGACACACGGATGGTGGATAATAATGATTATAAGTACCACACACTATGTAGTGATATCCGTGAACAGCCAAAGTGCCTCCTCACCTCCTTAATGAGACCGCAAGGGCCAGCTCGCTTTGTGGGATAACCACATAAACCAGGATAGTCACATCAGCAAGTGAACCCTTCTTGATGCCTTATTGCCTCCACTACTCCTCCACGGTCTCCTGTCACCTGGCACCAATACGTGTCCGATTCCACCAAGGGGTCATAAACAACAAAACAGACCTCCCATAGTGTGATACTGTATACACGCTTTATTAATGTAAAGAAGAAAAAAATGCCCACTCACATTCTAGCTGAAAACAAATAGCAAAGATCCACTGCTATGGGAATGTGCATGCATTCGTTTTCCAAAATGGCGTCCGTGTCCGGGATGACGTCACCACGCCTCATCCTGTCACTACGTACCGACGCGTTGCGTCACGTCACGATATTCACGTGACTTTATCAGGGTCACATAAGTACATAAAATGCAGTAACAAAGTGTAACCAAAAGCAAACTTTTTTTTTAAAATCCATTTTGGATAGGGAGGGTTAATCCCCTGTCTGTTTTTTACCATCTGTATCCCATTGGGGAGATTTCTCTTCATTTCTTGTCCTATAGTTAAAACAGGAAGTGAAAGGAACTAGTATCTATATTGGAAGATTTTCCCTTTATTAGAGTTCTAATATCAACCCAAAATTGGGGATTTTCTTTTACTTTCACTATTGATGATAACATTAAACAGGACAAATAGAGACGGTGAATCGAACGGGGGCACAGACAGATATAAAAACTGAGAGCTTTCTAATCCCTCTCCACTGTATGTAAAACTAAAAAAGCAAGTTTTGCCGTTCGTTATACCACTTGCCTACTGGGCACTTATACCCCCTTCTTGCCCAGGCCAATTTTCAGCTTTCAGAGCTGTCGCACTTTGAATGACAATTGCGCAGTCATGCAACACTGTACCCATATGAAATTTTTATCATTTTTTTCACACAAATAGAGCTTTCTTTTGGTAGTATTTAATTACCACTGGGTGTTTTATTTTTTGCACTATAAACAAAAAAAGAGCAAAAAATGTGGGAAAAAGAAAAAGGTTTTTTTTGTTTCTATTATAAAATTTTGCAAACAGGTAATTTTTCTCCTTCACTGATGTGCATTGATGAGGCGGCACTGATAGGTACTGAGGTGGCACTGATGATGCTGCACTGCTGGGCACCACTGATGGGCGGCACTGCTGGGCACAAGTGAACGGCACTGATGGGCACAGGTGAACAGCACTGCTGGGCACTGATCATCAGCTCTGATCACTTCTCTGACAATTGCCGGTTATCGGCAGTATTTTCCTCATGCTGTGACGGTGTGAGGAAAGTGCAGCCAATAACCGGCAACTGTATCAACCCGGTGATCTGCTGTCTCATTGGACACAGCTGATCAAGTGGTAAAAGGCCACTGTAATTGGCTGTTTACCGTATCACGTGATCAGCTGTGTCCGCAGGACACGTGATCAGCTGTGTCCGCAGGACATGTGATCAGCTATGTCCGCAGGACACGTGATCAGCTGGGGGCACGTAGAGAGCATGTTCTGGAATGATGTTCATGGACGTCGTCCCAGAACTGGGCAACCACGCTGTAGCAATCTTTCAGGTATAGCGCGGTAGGGAAGAAGTATGAAATACAACTAATTTTTAACAGAGCTTATATACGTGGTACCAAATAAAAGGGTTGGTTTAAAATATAGAAGAAAGGTGTGTTGAGGATTGGTTAAGGAGAGGCTTCAAGCTTGTTACTTTGCCTCCCAAACAAAGTTGAAGGCTTGTATACTGGAGATGGTTCTAATCTTGGAGGTGTGTGTGTGGGGGGGGGATATGGAGACTATTAATATTATTTCAGGTACTTATATAGTGCCGTCAATTTACGCAGCACTTTACATACATTTACACTATATTGTTAAAAGTTTTGGACACCCTCCACATCATTGGATTCAAGTGTTCCAATCATCTTCATGGCCATAGGTCAGGCATGTCCAAAGTCTGGCCCGCGGGCCATTTACGGCCCGGGGGTCGGTTTAATACGGCCCTCCAACAGCCCTCCGTGCTCTGTGTAATGTGGCCCTCCCACGGTCCTCCCTTCATGGCAGACAGTCTTCTGCTTGAGAGCAGAGGGCAGTGCGCATGCCTGACTGCGGCGCGTTCTCCCTGGTCTGTGTAAATGCGGCTGTCGCACGGCCCTCCCTTCTGTGGCAGACAGTCTTCCGCTTGAGAGCAGTGCGCATGCGTGACTGTGCCGCGCTGGGAGCGACAGAGGGCGGGTGACGTCAGGGCCGGGCTTCCAGCGTGAAGTGTGTTTCTCTTCCCCTCCCGGCTGCCGAGCAGAGACTTCAGCTCCAGCTACCTTTTTCACCCTTCACATTAGTGCAGGTAAGTTTTTTTAAAATTTATTTTCAATACATTGTGAAAACTCAGCTGTCAGTTGATCTTAATGTTATGAAATGAAAAGTATGTAGTTTGCAATTAACTTGGCATAAAATAATTTATTTGCATTTAATTGTAATGGTTCAAAGAATGTTCGGAAAAATGTTCGGCCCTCCACCACGTTCACTTCATCCAATCTGGCCCTCTTTGAAAAAAGTTTGGACACCCCTGCCATAGGTGTATAAAATGGGGTGCAACTTGGCATATGATTTGCAAGTCACATGGCATGCAAATCGCAACTGGGGTGTAAAACATGCAACGATATAAAGAACCTGCATACTCAGCAAGTGATTAAATAAACTGCTGAAAGTGAAATCTGAGGGCTTAGATTTACTTTTATGTCAATCTGACATGCACTGTAAATAACTGGAAGGAGGTCTACCTTTTAGTTGTGAGCGGGTATCTGAAGGTTTGGACTGCACGTTATTGCACTTAGTGGTCCTATGCAGGTAGTCATATTTCAAAACAGAGGAAGCCCCCTTATAGCTAGAGTGAAAAAAAACCTGCACAGTGGCTGGTGTGTAAGCATATGAAGGCTGCCGTTAGCACCTGACACAAATGAGTGTGATATGTGAAATTAAATAAATGCTGCGCTGCCAATTCTGCTCCTTCTTAGGAACCACAATAAAGTGTCCATGTGAATGTGCTGCAAAACACCTATCGTCTTGCTGGGAAAGTGTATATGTGAACAACTCTCCGTACATGCAACTACAGTTAAAAAAAACTAAAATTGTGTAGGATTATAGTGGCCGTGCTATAGTGTACCTCCCCTACCTGCGAACAGCTGTTTCTATACACCACATAACCTGTGAGGACTTTTTTTCTGCTGCAATGTGTTTAGAAATGTCAGTTTTGGGGGAATTATTCCTTATGCCTTTATGCTGAGGTGCACAAGTGACTTACTGTCAACAAACTCCCTGCATTCCTCTTTGAGTTCGGTGGTTTGCTGGGAGACACATCTGGATCCAAGATGCGCAGCTTGTTGAGTTCATCAAAGTGCAGTCCAGCTTCTGACAGCGAGTCTTTAGCCATCGCTATTGAAATATAGGACAATAAGTAGATTGTTATACTTTATGAGCTACAAAAAAAAAGTTACAATATGTATCAGAAAGACAAACATTAGTGTAAATGTATGTTTTACAAAGCTTTTGACAATAGTGAACATTAAATACCAGAACATGACTATAGAACTACAACCCCAATTCCACAAAAGTCAGGACATCGTGTAAAATCTATAAAAAAACCAGAATGCAATTATTTGCAAATCTCATAAACCCATATAAAACAATGAAAATTTACCAGTTTAAGAAAAAAATACAGTAATTTTAAAATTGATGGCAGCAATTTCCCCCATTCGGACAGCCCCCGAGAGATGGAGCTCCTCCTACTGGGACAGGAAACACATTGCCTCCAGATCTTTAAAAGGCAGTCCTACAGGAACGTGGCCAGTCATTTGTTTCTTCCGGATGGAGAAGGCATGTTGCCTGTAGGAACTGTCAAGTTTCCAGTAGGGGTTCTATTTTTCAGGAATTGCCCTGGATTGGATCCTACCTTCAATTTTGCTTTTGCTAGGCCAGGCCTCCTTCCACAGTGGCAGGAGTGGGGGCTAGCTCAGAAGAAGCCAAGAGTCACGTGATCCCGGAGGATTTGGTGTCATCTATGCGTGTTGGGGGCTTCCAGGTTCCAGTCTCCAGGGCACGGGAGGAAGGGGGGGGCCAGGCCAGTTGCATATGCTGGCGCCTGTCCAATATAGGTGGTAAGGTCAGGCTCCAGAGAATGCAAGAACCATCATGGAGGATTCTTCCCAGCTCCAGGTAATGCAGGCACCAGCAGCTCACAGGTAAAATAGCTGGGCTATTTTCTTGAGGCTGTGTAGCCTTATTTTGATAGGGTCAGCAGAACGGGGTTCTGTAGGACATCATTATAGGAATTTTGCTGTATTTTTTCTGGCTAGTTATTGGCATCTAACCTGGGCCCTCCTTTCTGTGTTTTCACAGGCTGAGGAACCACCAAAGGAGGACAAACCTGCAAAGTAAAAAAATGTGCTAACTGTGGCACAAGATTATGGTCCAAATACAAATCTCTTTTCCCCAGGTGTATTGCTAACCTACTAAAGGTAGAAGCTGATTTTCCATATGCAAAATTCCTAAGTTCCTTCAAAAAAGAACTGTAATCCAATTTTCTGAGTTCTGATGTTAAGTTCTTCCACTTCAACTAGTCAGCCAGAGCTAGTGCCTTCTCCACCTCCATTTTTATGACAGCCCAGATTCCATCTAGAACCAGTGTCCAAAATTAGACACACCTCTATCAAAGGTCTCAAAACACACCGATTTGGCATTTGAGGACATAGGTCACCTCAATGACACAATGGATAGATGGAGAAATGTGATCTTGAAGAGATCTTAGGATGCATGCATGGCAAACCTAAAGCCAGCATTAGCTACTACGTGCGTAGCCAGAATTTTGAATATTATCTCAACTACAAGAACATATCAGGGCAGGAGCTACCAGAGAGGAATTAAAGTATTTTTCTACCCTCTTCAAGGATGTCGATTTAAATGCAGATGTTTCAGTGGAATTAGTTAAGCTCTTGGTTAAAGCTGCGGCACTATCCGTAGTTGCCAGAAGATCTATCTGTTAAAAGACATGGTCGAAAGACACTGCTTCAAAGTTACAACATTCCATTCTGTGATCTTCTGTTTGGGCTGGAATTAGATGCTGCTCTTGAAAGGACAGTGGATAGGAAAAAGGCTTTTCCCATTGAGAAGAAACCTTTTCAAAAGAATTTTTTTCTGTCAATTTAAAGAACAAGCAAGAGTAGAAGATAAAAATAAGTATAAGTATAAGTGACACTGGATTGGAGAAAAGGGGAAGCTGAATGGAAACAAACATTCTGTTTAACCCATCCCCCCGCCCTCCCTGGAGCAACAAGATACAACAAAGGCTGATTCTGTGGGAGGATGGTTGTTGGGATTTCCGACATCAATGGTCAAAAATTACTTCCAACAAGTTCGTCTTAAAAATTATAGACAAGGGCCACGAGCTGGAATTCAACACAAGACCCCCTGCAAAATTCACCAGATTGCCAAAAGACCTGGCAAAGCCTCAGGCACTTCCTCTGTTGTTGGGAGAATTAGTAGATCAAAAGGTACTAATTCCTGTCCCAAAGATGGAACAAGGAAGAGGTTTTTAGTCATGTTTTTGATGTAAGGAAGCCGTCAGTAAGATATTGATTAATCAAAAATTTTTGTCCTTTAAACAGGGCAATAAAATACAAAGATTTCCACATGGAATCAATCTATTCAGTCAGAAATAGCTGCAAAAAGATAATGATATAGCCACAATGGACTTGAGGGATACATATCTGCATATTCCTATAGGAAAGCATTCACAAAGATACCTTTGTCTAGCAGCAGAGATAACTAGCAACATTTACCACTTCCAGAGTAGGGCCCTACCGTTTGGGCTAAGCTCAGCCCTGAGGATCTTTAACAAGGTCCTAGCAGAGGCCTTAGCACCATTAAGACTCCAATCCATAATGGTCATACCATACTTGGACGATCTTTTTCTGGCAGCCTCTCAGGAGAAATTTCAACAAGATCTCAAAAGCCCAGAGATGGTTGTCGAAACTAGGTTGGATTGTCAATTCAAACAAATCGATCTTAGTTCCATCCCAGGAGATTTGATTCCTAGGATATTCAATCCAACCAATGCATCAGATTTTTTTCCAGAGGAATAGAATGCTCATACCAACCACAAGAGGACCAGATTTTACCAGAGGCCACCTCAAAAATCTCTACTACAGAACTTCAGGAGGAAAGACCTGGAAGACAAGGTTTACCTACTAGTAAATCTGAGACAGTCCACAAGGTGGTGGCAGGACAAAAGTCACCTTTTACCAGGGCTCCAGTGGACTTTTCCCATCTACAGAATCCTAAAAACCAATGCCAGCTCATGTGGTTGTGGGAGTGCACCTGGGGGACCAGTGGATGTCGGGGTGCTGGTCCCTACAGGAAAAAGTTTTCATCCAATTGGAAGGAGCTAATGGCAGTAGCCAGAGAGCTGTTGGCCTTCCAGGACCATCTCATAGGCCATCATGTTTAGGTACGATCCGACAACACAACTACAGTTACTCACAAACAAGGGAGAAAGAGAAGCCAAGCTCTGATGGAAATAGCCCAGACAATTTTTCTTTGGGCAGAGAAGAATCATAGTTCTCTCTCAGCCATCCATTTAAGAGGGGATTAGAAAAACCTGGCTGATTTTCTGAGCAGACAAGTAGTGTCTCAGGAAGATTGGTGTCTTCACCCAGAAGTGTTTTGGGAGATAGTTTCTCTTTGGGTAATGCAAAGGTGGAGCCATTTGCAAACAGATAAAATGCAAAACTGGAGGCTTTTTCTTCTCTGGATCCAGGCTGGCAGCCATTAGCCATGGATACCCTTCTGAATATGTGGGCCTTCGACCTTCGTTACGCATTCCCCCCTCCTCATTTGATTCCGAGGGTCTTACCGAAGTACATGAAGGAAGACAATTCACTAATTCTGATTGCTCCCCATTGGCCCAAGAGGTCATGGTTTTCTCTCCTAGATTCCCTGGTGGATCATCCTTCTATCCTTCTTCCACTCAGGCAGGATCTTCTGGGATCAGTACTACATCTCACTTGACTGTACCCCAGGGATCAGTACTACATCTCACTTGACTGTGTTGAGTTTGGCTGCCTGGTTTCTTAAGAAGAAATTCTAAGATCTGTGGGTTTCACAACATATCAGGTTGAGGGAGAGACTCAGCAATGATTATGGAGTTTTTAAAGGATCAGGATGAAAAAGACTTAGTACCCTAAAAGTGCAAATAGCAGCCTTAAGTGTGTACCTTCAGAGAACGCTCCAAGAAGACCATCTGATAAACAGATTCAATAAGGCAGTGATAAGGGCAAACCAATTGCATATAATAGAATTCCAACATGGGATCTATCTGTGGTTTTGTGTGCAATTATCAAAGCACCATTTGAACCCCTTTCTAAGGCTTCTTTGAGACTGGTCACATGAATGACAATTTTTTTGATGGCTATTACTTCAGCCAGAGGAACCAGAAAGATTCAAGCTCTCTCAATTGGGGAACCCTGTTTACAGATCTTAAACGACACAGTTATTCTTCGCACAGATCGCACTGAGCAAACTGTTAGCGCTATATAAATCCTGTATAATAATAATAATCCAGTTTTTGTTCCTAAAGTATCATCTGCTTTCCATAAAAATCAGGATATAGTCCTACCTTCCTTCTGTAATTCTCCAACAAATGAGAAGAAACAGCTCCATCTACTGGATGTTAAGAAATGTCTACTCACCGTTTTGAAGATAACAAGGGCTTTATGTCTTTTGTCCTTTTCTCAGAGAAACGGAAAGGTAAACAAGCCTCAAAAGGTACAATTGCCAGATGGCTCAACGAGGCTATCTTAAAAGGATATAGGGTGCTAGACCTTGATCCACCATCAGCCCTAAAGGCTCATTCCACAAGAGCACTTTCCAACTTGTGGGCAGAAGCAGCCGGAGCCACCCCGAAGCAGATTTGCAATGCCACCACGTGATTAGTTTTTTTCTACCTTTGTACATCATTATCGCCTTGATTCTTTAGCAAATCAAGACCAGACTTTTGGGAGGAAAGTCCTCCAGGCTGTTGTTCCCCCCTAATCATGGTGTGTTCTTGTTTATCCTCTCGGGGGCTGTCCTGGAAGACGACTGAGGGAAAACCAAAGTTAGACTTACCGGTCTCAGAAGTCTTTCAGGATAGCACGTTCCCACCTGATATAACTATAAATTTGTTTGGTTGTCTTGGTTGGTTGATAGGTAATGTTTTTCAGATAAATTTTTGGTTCTTGGGTTGACTGGCCACGTTCCTGTTGGACCACCTTTTAAAGATCTGGAGGCAATATGATTATATGATTTTTGTCCCAGTAGGAGGAGCTTAATCACTCAAGGGCGGTCCTGGGAGACTCCTGGAAATGGAGTTACCTGTAAGTCTAACTCCGGTTTTTG